AGTCCATTCCAACCACTACTACTAAGTGCAGTGCGAATAAACAAGATCTGGAAAATGAGTGCATAATTATATATTTTTTGAATCGGAATAGCAAATACAGCCATTTAAATTTTGTGCCAAACATCAAATTTTGAAAAGCAAAAGAGTACTTAATTTTTTAAGCATCTTACAAAACGAGTCAAAAACATAACTTTATTTTACATCAAAATACTGCTTCATCCGCACCAAGAAATTCATATTTGAAAATTTTGAATACACAACTATACAAACCAATACAATATTACAATGCTCCAACGAACGTATGTCCCTTGCTTCACAACCAGTCAAGTTAATCTCTAAGACTGATTCCACAACATATCGCAAAATACCGGATCGAATAAATTCACATAACAAGTAATGATGTTCCACAATATCTTCATGCAATATTTGAGTAAGACAGAATAACGCCACGAACTGGAATTAAAATAACTATTTACAAAACCATCAGAGGAACACTCATAATCTAAAATAATCATTGCAATTTCTGTGATTTGCAATTCCTTCTGAATCACAAAAACAACAAAAAGCGACTACAGAACATTATTGGCCTTTTCCCTGCATGATCTATTTATTCACTTTTGCATAAATTATTTCAAGTCATTAACATACACACACATATCAACAAAATCAGTATTAATTATTTTTCAAAGTCAATATCAGTGCAACACAATTACAAATACAATTGAACAAAGTATCTCTTAAAGAAGAAAACAAAAATTATCACCCATCTCATTTCTGTGCTTAACTTTTTATAATTTAACTCAAATGCTGACAAATACTCAGATAACTGAAATCAGCCAAGAGATAAGTCTGAAAATTAAATGTGCAGATAAAGAAAACACAGAATTTTTCCGAAAAAAAGACCGTTCCGCATAATAATTATACTTGGATAACTACTCTCAGTGCTGATCATCACAACTTGATTATTTTCGTTCAAACTTCTCAAGAAAGATAGCAAATTAGGAGTAACATTATTATCATTATGAATGAGAGAGAAAAATTGTGCTACAACAATACAAAATTGCTTGTTGTTTACAAATCTACTTACAAAGACTGCTGATGATAATTGCATCTCATCTCATAACTTTCGAATTTACCACACTAAGTAACTGATTTTTATTTCCTTTGATTCATTTTTCCACCACAAATTATTTCGAATAAAAGAGAACCACTTTAATACAACAATGTTAGATTTAATACGATGAACTGATTTCATTTCCGATAAAATGGTAATAATGATGTAATTTTTGCAAGCAATGATGTCTATTTTTGATACAAGTTCTTGTGGTATCATTGTTAAATACAGAAATAAATCGATAGCTCAAAAATGTACATATATAATCACTATTATCATTTATTTGCTTCGGTAGACTTAATGAGTCTTGATATGGCTAAATAATTACACTGCGAACAAAAAGTTCACACACAAAGTGTTGCAAGAGTGCTGCAAAATGTGTTAACACACCACTACAAACTGATTTAATAAATTTGGAAATCATATTTGCTATAATCATTGAAAAATAATTATATGAATTACATTTGTCTGGAAACAGTTCTTCATAAGTGCATGAGCTCAAAATACATCTCTTCAAATAAACTTGTTAACAACTAATATTACTTCACTATTATCACTGAAACTTCTGAACAACTACATGTGCTTCAAAACAATACTTCCTTTGGAGCAGCTTATATAGCCTTTTAGATGTGCGTTGCTAGGATATCCATGACTCTTTGATAATGTCAATGTAAACTGCCTGATGATACAATTGAAGGAATACTTTTAGAACAAAGCAAGAAGTAGTTTTTCGGGGTACAGTCGATGAAAACTTGATAACAAAGTGAGGTAAGTTAGACATTATATTTCAAGGCAATCAATCTAGTAAAAATAAAGTAGATATTTGGTGAGGAAAATTCTACTGATAGGAAAGGTCTAAAAAATAAAGTAGTTTTAATCAGTTTTATTCATAAAAATTCTAA